AGGGACAGATCTAGAGGGGTGGCAGCTGCCCAAAAAATGTCTGGCCACCCCAGTTTGGTGTCAAATGCTGTCAAATTTAACTAATTAATTGAGATGAATTTTAAAAATGTGTTAAAAAATGGAAATTAACTTAGTGATCTGTTAAGGCCACATTTTAGACTAAGTGATAGGCTTAAGTTAAGGCTAAAGTAAACTGATTAACTCTTGAATTGATTTCTGATGCCACCTTAATTTAATGTTTTTGAGTTTAAATAACTTCATTTGGGGGCTTTTCCAAGCAAATGTTAATATATGTTTAAGGACGCTTTGATATACAGCGGGAGGAGACAAGGATTGAACCCCCAACCTTCTAATTAGTGGATCCGCTCTACCTCCTGAGCCACTGCCGCTCCCACATATTTCTGCCACCCCTTAAAGTCTGCATGCCACCCTCTTGCCATCCCATGAATATTTCTCAAAATGTTTGACTGTTTGAATGTTTTGAAGAAACCTATCCTATTTGACTCCAAGAAACCTAAATATCTACAGAGTACAGCTCTGTGAGCTCGAAAAGGGAGAACGATGAAACGCCAAACAGTGACTCATGATGTGTCATCATAGTACCACAGTGACAGTGTGTGTTTTATCACACTCGATCCAGTTGAACCTTCTGCTCCGAGGGTGTTTTGGCTTCAGCTCCACTGTTGCTTTGCTATGAGAGACTAAGCATTTTCCTGTAACCGTTCTCGCCTCTCAGCTGGGGTTACTATGGTAACCCTACTAGCAAAATGAAACTAGCATTCCTAGCATTATTTCGCCATGTTCTGATGCGTGTGTGTAATCTAATAAAGACGACCAGCACAGAACAGAGGAACATTCCTGCATTGAGGGAAGTTCCCTCTCTTGTTTTGCCTCATTGTCACACACACACACACACACAAACACACACACACACACGTTATTCCCTATTTTCTTGTTGTCGGGGTCATATAGTTGGCATCGTTATCAGCTGAACAGCTCTCTGAGGATCATTCGCCGTGCACATGCGTATTTACCTGCATTGTAGCGAAAGCAGTTGATTTCAGACATGTTGGTTTGTCTCAGGTCAAAATTATGATTCCAATTAGGCAGTCGGGAGAAAGGGAGTGTGGATCTGCATTTGTTAATTTGATCATCGTAAATGAGGTTTAATTTGTATGAGACATTCATGCAGAGACAGCTGTGTTCTTGTGTGTGTGTGCAGCCTAGAAACAGCATCTATTACTGCAGCTGTGGCTACCAGGGGAGTCCTGTTTATTACACTAACTTTACTGTACACTATATAAATACTGCAGAGGGTACAAAGAATAATCTGGACAACTCTCATTTGACAGGCAGATGTAAATTCATTAATTCCTAACATGTTTCCTCCATCATCTTCAGTACCAAAGCCGATGTAAGAAAACAATCGAGTGATGGAGTAGAGTACGAGAGAGGGCATGGGATTGTGGGTAGAGTACCTGTTCGCTGCAGGTCTTGGGCTGGTTTGAAATAATCGGATATTTTAGATATTTTATTTTTGTATCATCCCTGATTTTCCATGTTCAGTTGTTGAAGACAGTGAATTTAGTTGTCATGAATTTGGCTGTTTCCATGTCCTTGACAACCTACTTCGTGGTCGTCACACCGCCTATATTAAAGAGATGCACGTCAGCCCATTTGATCATTCCTTGTAAATTAATGCCATGCATATTTTCTAGTTTCAGAAGGTATTTTAAGTCAACAATCGACACCTCTTCCCAAAGTAGCAACAAAACTGGACACACAAAGAATGTGTGTCAATAATTTGCTACTTGTTCCCCACATCCTCTCCAGCAACTAGTCCCTGTTAAGGAGTTACATTTCCCATACTTATACGGGGTTACAAAATATCTCATCCTTACTTTCTAAGGAAACTCCAGTATTTTGATTGCGATACCCTAAAGTTTCCACTTATTCTTTCCAATCTCATATATTAGTGTGTTATTTCTTAGCTAACTACTACAGTTATAATTACATACAGTACTGTAACTGTCTGCAGCTGCTTTCCATTTATGCTTGATAGCATCTTGCACCACTCTCAACTAATTATTATCTATTGACAGAAGTGGCTGATTAATTAATTGTAGGATATACTGAAAGAAATTATAATGATATGAGAGGATAATTAATTGTAAGCCACATCAAACATTGCCACTGTGAAGATTTGTTGCTTATTTCATTAAAATAAGTTTTCTATTTTATATATTTGTACATTGAATGGTTGAGAATGTGATGGGCATTTTTCTTTATTTTCTGATATAGTATAGATATTTAATTGATCAAAATAAAAGTTGACTGTCAGGTACATAAATAGTCACATGAAAACAGAAAAAACACAGTGAAAACAACAGGAAGAGTCCATTATTTCCAGTGAAGGTCACATTAAAGGTACTTTTAAAGTTCAAATTCATCTAAAATAATGAAATCTTTCTTGCTGTTCACGTCTTTAATTTTAGTGCAATACTGTCAGAGTTGGACAACAAGCGGATGAAAGCTGGTCTGAAACCGATCCATTTTAATTTTCAGATGTGGAATTTAGCAAGAAACATCTGCGACTAATTGACTTGATTAAGTCTAGTTAAATAACACTAAAATTCAGAGTCAATGTCTTGTTGCTGCTGGCTGTGAACCAAGATGTATTTTGAACGGACGAGTGTCCCCGTTTGGAGGGTAATTTGGGAATATAAACGGATGATTACTGAGGTATTGTGTTTCCCTCTTCAGCTATGAGTAGCCCTGTATTTACTCCACTTCATTGTGTTTGTGTTTATATCTCAGGGTAGAGTTAGACTTGGACTGCATCTCTTAGTGTGTGAAAGAGCAACAGTGTTGATCTTAAGAGGAATTCTTCGACAAGAGATGTGTCACAAAGTCATTCACTATTTTAAGTTCTCTCTCTCACAGACACACGCACACACACACCATGACACATACTCCTCCATACATACACCACCTTTTACCCTCCGGTGGTACCCCACAGTGCCCCTGGGATCCTTTCAGATGCCAAACACTAAACATGGCCTTTCTGGGAAGTCATTGTTAGTTATTTATAGGGCACAGTGGTGCTGGCAGAGGGGAGCAAGGGGAAGAGGGAAAAAAATCCTCCTCTGTGTATTTTTGTGGCCTGTGTGTGTGTGTGTGTGTGTGTGTGTGTGTGTGTGTGTGTGTGTGGAGAGACAGAGACAGAGAGAGAGAGAGAGAGAGAGAGAGAGAGAGGGGACAGATTTTGTGGTTATATATGCACCATAGGGTTTTGCCCGTGGCTCCGGCTGATATTTATAAGTCATGTTTGGTACCGGGATATTTTGGGAGTCTCCCCTGAGACCTCTGAGATAATATGTCTGACTTGTTCCATGATCCGTATACTCCCCTTGTTATTCTCCCACTTCTCCCTCTCTCTGTCGCACACACACACACAGCCTATATCAAGTGATGCGATAGACTTCATCACATTATAACCAGACAAGCACAAATCTGGTTTGGGAAAAAAAGCTACTTATGGTTGAATTTAAGTTACCCATTGGGTTTGATTTATCTAATAGTGTAACTTAAGATGAAATATGTCTTTATTTGTTGCAGAACTTTATGTTTATTCACTTTCATTCACTCTGTTTCCTTCTGGCCCTTAATGTGTTGGGTTTGTGTCCGTTGTGTGTCAGAGGAGCAGCTCATTCACTTGCATCCATAAACCATGAGTCATTGTTAGAGTGATCTGCTGAGTCATGCTTTGCTTCTGTGGACTTCCTGGCCTCAGTGACTCTTGATCGTGTGTGTGTGTGTGTGTGTGTGTGTGTGTGTGTGTGTGTGTGTGTGTGTGTGTGTGTGTGTGTGTGTGTGTGTGTGTGTGTGTGTGTGTGTGTGTGTGTGTGTGTGTGTGTGTGTGTGTGTGTGTGTGTGTGTGTGTGTAAGACATGCAGTGGTAAAATGGAAGATTTAAAATGGAAGAAAGCCGACAGGCAACGGCTGAGTGTTTTTTAAGTTATTTTTCACTTTAGTGCGTATCAGCAATGGAAGAATTACCATATAAAGTTACGTTTTCTCCTGCTTACTCATACTCCATTCCACGGTCTTGTTATCTTGCTTTTATAGACTGCAGTGTGAGTCTGCTGCGCAACTGATGTTGTCAACAACATTAAAAGATATTTCCATCCATAGTCACAATATTAAAACCAAGACCATATATATCATATGTTTGCCCAGTTAGCAGCATTCAGAACAGCAGAGTCGGTGTTCTTGGGTCGTGAGAAAGCCATACGTCAGGAACTAAGACCTTATCGGGGTCAGAAACGAAGACTTAGGGACTGAAACCGGAACTAGGTTCCCATCAAAATGCATGTGAAGTCCCTGCAGTGAAAATAAGACTGTAGTAGAACAGTCATTCTTTGTGTTTCTGTTTCTTTGTGAGTCAAAAGTTTTTGATGCATCTATCTACTATAGAGTCACACGTTATTAATGGAATCAAGACTGCAGCTGTTTAAACATTAAACCCTGAAACAGATCATAACGTCCTCTTTTAGTATGACACAAAGATGGAGTTTCACCGGTAATGATGTGATCCTGGTGCCGGACATGTGTAGTGTCTAGTTTTAAACTGCCAGCTGAGTCTTTAAAGGTCTAATTTCTGTACTTGTGTCTTTTTTTTTTTTTTACACACCTTTTGCATGGAGAAAGATCCAAAAGGCAGCAAATATCACTTCTTTTGACATAAATATTTATTCATTGTTCCTTCAAATGGATAGTTTTACAGTGAAGTTACAAACAGGACACAGGAAATGAGAGTGGTGGTGTGATATGCAACAAGGGTTTACCGATGGAAATCAAACCAAAGAGTTATGTGATACACATCTTATCCAGTAGGCCACCACAATATAGTTTGTTTACTCTTTCTGCCCAGCCTATGAAGTATTTATTTTGAATGATACATCTAAATGATGATTGAACCTCTTCTTCTGTCTTCACAG